CATTAACTTCTATTGTTAGTGTACACCCTGGAGAGATATGTATGTATATCGTAATCTGTTTGCCGAATGCGGTACTCAAGCAATTTCCTACAATTATAAGTAAATAAAAATATTTTTATACAATCTGCAGCCATCTTATGGTCGATCCTAAGAATTTTGAGAATAATATAATAATAATAATAATAATCTAATAAATTTTCAATAACTTGACGTCCGCTACGTTGGTCGACATTTAAATAAGAACCACTATACACTCATAGAGAGAAATCCCAAAATGGATACAGATTAAATATAATTATATTAATTAATACCTAAATGCCTACATAAATTTTATACAGAAGAAACGTTTACTTTATTAAATTCATGATTTGTAATCATGCACACGTATACGATCGTCGAATTTATTACCGCTTTTCGAAGACCCACGCACATTTCTCTCTCCACTTGCCTCGACCCTGTATCTTGGGGAGGCCGGTGAACTGGCAACCCCAAGAAATATTCCCTCTCCGTTATGTCAAATTTGACAGAAATCCAATCGTTTGCCAACTGTAAGCACATTCCTTCCCGGTTCGGAAACTCTTTCAGACCAATATGAATGGCGCGAAGACGAAGGCACGGCTACTTATATAATCATGATAATCCTAATTGCCTTAAAGTTTATATTAACGAAGCCAGTTTCACGAGCACAGGCGATCTTGTTGTATAAACGTCTAAATATTAAATTTTTTGGCACAACCGATTCAACTCTATAGGAGGAAAGATTTTATGAAAATGTTCGTAGCGTTTTGTGACATTTGCCGAGCGCGGGGAAACTGTCTTCATAAATATAACAGATAAATAATATAGAAGCAAAACGCACATAGATTACAAATAGTTATCAGACGTTCAATTTTGTACTTTCATAATCAGATTCCAAGAAGTCTTTCATTTTTTTTCAACATCAACTCTTTTTTTTTTTCGTTTTAATACTTTTTTATCTAAAAATTTTGGTTATTATCTTCTAAATAATCTGTATTTTTTAAATTTAGATTTGGCGATCCGAAAAAAGTTCTCTTAAAAAATATTTCTTTTGAATCTTCTCTTTTAAAAATTACTGTTTAAAATTTGTACGTTCATTTTTGTACAGATATCGAATCTAATTTGACACTAGATACTCTTCGAAAATTTTGTTTTTAAAAAATGTATTTTTTTTCTTTAGAATACAGTTGGCAATATTATTTTGGCAGTACTAGAAATATTAATACTTTAGTATTGCTCTGATTTACATTGTCATTTTGAACACTGAACATTTCCTCTAGAAAATGGCCGAACCTCGTGAGTCGTCCGCGGAGCGAAGTCCGCACGTCGCGTCGTCGGTCGCAGCGAGCACTGGAGACCGGGGCAGTCGCGGCGGCCGGGCGCGAATACTGTTCATGTAATTTTACAACTAACGTCAATATTTTACTACTTTTATAATACACAACTGATCATTAGAATGCCGCATCATCCTGCAAAGTTTTGGCATTGTCCGTATATTGCACATATATGCTATCCCTTTCTTGTCCGAGTCCAGAAGCGCGCTTCAGGGACCCTCGCGGCGCGGCGAGGCGAGGGTACCGGAAGACGGGCGCATGGGCGCCGCGAGCGGCGTGGGCAGCGTGGGCGGCGGAGTCGGCCGCGGTTCAGGCCATGGTCTGCGGTCATTGCAGGCCGGGCGGCAGCTGGTCGCCGGCGGCCAGGTCGAAGAGGTGGTGCGGCGCGGGCGCGAGGGCGCCATGCAGCGCAGAGGTTTTGAGCAGCCGCTTGAGCATGCCGCTGGAGCCGCGGTGCTGCAGGCTCTTGTGCGTGGTGAGCGAGTTCTTGGTGCGGTACCGGCGGTGACAGAACTCGCACACGTACAGCGTGTCCGACTGCTCGTGCTTGTCTTGGAAATGTCGTTTCAAGGAATAGTAACAAGAGAATGTCCGGCGGCAGTAGGGACACTCCTGCGGCTCGTTGATCCCGCCGGCGGTCGGCGGAGGCATGCGGAGGGGCGGCACGGCTGCAAATTGAAAATGACCTCCCTTTGATCATCTGTGCTGTCCCAATGTAACGTATTGTTGTTCAAATGTGTTAATCCTCAGTCGTTGCGATACGTTAAGAGACAGGTCGAGATTCAAAGGCATATCAGAATAATATACTTTTATAATAGGTACCTAATATGTATGAGGTTAATAATTATTAATTATAATACTAATAATATGCACTGTACACATTTACTAACTACACAATAATCACGAGGTTTTATATATTCAAAGTCTTAAAGAAAGTCGTTCAACCACAATGACACAGAACACGTGATAACAAAAATGATAGAAGCATGCTCCAAGCAACACAACAACGTCAAAACTGCGACACCCGATGGGAAGGGGCCTTCGGCTTGGGATTTAAATTAAGGAAAAAATATAAAAAAAAAATTAATCAGGAAAAAACCGAAACGAAAAAAATAAAAGGACCCTTAAATGTGACCTTAGATCTAGATGTTTGTTTCGTTAACGTGTCCTACCGGAGTTTGTCTATAAACATGTCTAACCTTTGTGAGTGCTGTTAAGCACGGCGCTCGGGTGCGGGTTGGCCTGGAGGTTCTCTTTGCTAGCCGAGAGCCGCCGCGCGCCGCACCAACTCCGCCCGAGTAGTCACTAAAAAAATCGTATGTGATCCGTGTCCCCCGGCCTCGACTTGTGGTAGGTGTAAATGTGGGTCATCAGGGAGTTGCGCGAGCAATAGACACGCTCGCAAATCGTGCACCTGTACTCCTCCTGCCTCTCGGCGTGTTTGTCCGCAATATGCCGCTTCAGAGATGCCTTTGAGCATAACACTTTCCCGCAAAGCGAACAGGAGAATAACTTTTTACCTGCAAACAAATCGAAAAAAACAAAACAAATATGGGGGTGTACCCCGGACGCTCAAACAAAATGTCTCATGTGAACCTACTAGTCTTTAGTGGTCTCTAATTGATTTGATCTTATTGTCCAAAAAAAAAATCAAATAAAAAGTGTTTTAAAAAAATAATAAATTAAATAAAGAAATAATAAACAAAATAAAATATAAATGATGGCGAAGCTACAGTGGGCGGTGATGTGTTAGAACAAATGACATGCGGATATTGCGGGAGAAAAACCAGGTTTGTGAAGCGCTGCCAGAATATAAAACAAGTAGGTAACAGTGCACTAGTACATAATACTACAAGAAGCACAATTCTGTAACTACCTTTGCCTGAAAAGTTCATACACAAATCTTATTAATAGGGATGTATTAATAAAACTATCGACATTGTATATTTGTTTTTATTAAAAACGCCATTATCATCAATATTAGGATTTATGAAGTTCCGTTTAACGATTACAATTACATTTTATGAGTAGTTACGTCAAGTATTTATTTACTTTTAAATTATAAAAGGGGAAAGAACTATTTAGGTATACATATGCAGCAAGATGTAAACAAAGTTTGTTTATAAGTTTGCAGCCCATTGATTGAAGGTCGACGATGACACATTTACATACTAATATTAATATATGAAATGATTACAATAATTCATTTCATCGTTCCAATGCGTTCAAAACATCGCGACGAATGGAAGACAAAAAATAATAAAATCAATTTAGGCACGTCTTCAAACACAAATAGAGTAATGGACTGCATTACGTTTATAAGTGCCAATTATCAACAAAAAAAACAAATCGAAGGACAGTATAATAATTTAAGAAGAAAAAAAATAAAATTTCAATACAACAACCAATAAATTAATTTAGATTCCTTATAAAATAGGTAAAATAGCCAACAAGAAGTATAAGAACACATCGAACACTGCGCGCGGTACACTCGCGTGCACCTAACGCGTACCATGACACGTTAGAAAGATAAAAAAACTTAAACAGGTCACAGAAACAGTCTTAAACTTGCTAAGATCCTAACTAATGTAGTTTCAACAGGGATGTGTTCTGCTTCCTAGAACACGGTGTAGTTATCGCCCTTTAAAACCCACGAAGATCAAAAAGATCTTCTGAGATCCCGTTAACTTAGCAGCTACGATATAAATAAAAAAAATTTAAGATCCAAAAATCACAAAACAAAATTTTGATAAAATCCCGAAAAACGCTTCCGACTTGTTGATTTTTTTTCTTTATATAAAATCACTAGTTAATTTAGTAAATAATTGTACAATTTTTAATCTAGAAAATACGCCTAATAGTGTACAATTGAAACGGGCACTTAGTCTAATCAGTCTATAGCGTTTATTACTTTTGGCAAAATCATTTTTGATGAACAAAAAAGAAATAATTTAACATCATAAGATCTTTTTAGCTACGAAATTAGCCAAATAATTATCGTACTGCTACACTCAGCAGCACATCCCTGTAATCGTAAAGTAAGGTAGATGCTAACATCTATCTATTCAGATTAACCTTACATCTAAATAGTTAACTAACTTAATTCCCAAACCCAAATTAAACAGTAAAAACTATTATCTAAATTACGAAAAATAAAACAACAATTCTACGTCTTACAAAGTTTGCAATTTGTTGCAAATAAATTTAACATTCTCTCGAAGCACGGAATGTTGCGAAAAATTTGAAAAAATTTTGATTTCCTTTTTCGATTTTTTTCTTTTAGCTTAACAATTTTTTTTAACACGAACGACGTTCCGTTTTAGCACCAAATCACTAGTCTTTCCAATCAGTTAAACGTATTATAATAAAGCTTATCAAATAACTAAACAAAGAGTAATGGCTAAGCGTTTATGCATCTAGTAATAACAACGTAAACCCTATAACAGATAGCATTAAATTTTATTTTAGGAAGCCTCTTATTAAATGTATATTAGCATTGATCCGTTACCTTCTAGGCAATGTGTCGAACACTACTCCTAAATCTTTTACAAGATCACGCAAAATATGTCTTTTTTTTTAAATAAAAACACAATCATAATTATGTAAAGCAGGCACTAATAATTACTTAAAGTGTATATCGTTACAATAAATTATGTTTTACATTTACACTTAGATTAAAAAAATTCTTATTGCTATGAAATAAAAAAGGAAAAATAACAATAGTTTTTATCCGACAATATGAGTCGGGATAGATATACATATGTAGTGATGTGTTAATTGAACTATATATGTAGAGTATAGTTGTGTAACGAAAACATATAATGTATTATATATAACCAAATCTACATATGGATTAATATTAACGCGAAAGTCTAGATCCAGAAGATATAGGAGACATTGACTTACTACAAGCACATAGAGAAACGGAAGGAATTGGCTGTACAGGTTTATCTAACACAAAGTCTATGTAACACGCGCTGTGGAGACGAGAGAAAAGCGATGTACATCGAATGAAAAACACTATCGTAATTTTTTTTTATAATCTATGTAGTATTTATGTGAGCTTTCTGAATCTAGACTAGTATATAAAATGCCCGTTTGCAATAGTAAAATCGATTAACACTATGTATGGCAAGCGAGACGTCGTAAAGGAAAAATATTCACTGTTCAAATTTAGGAACATTTAACACTGAGAGTTATTACAATTTAATAGTTATCATCTACAATTTAATTTATTTTTTTAATCATTATTACGTCAATTGCTTATAATTTTAAAACGTAATAGCAACAAATTTTTAACGTAATAACCGTTCAAATAGAGTACAGATAATAATAATTTAAATATAGAAACGTGAAAAGAATTATCAACGATAAAAAAAAAATAATAAAAAAAAATAATAGAAACGAACACAAGTGTGCGTTAAAACTTACGCTTGAAAAGTAACTAAACATCTTTACTAAATAAAAATAAAAACATATATAATATTCAAATAGCCATAATTCATTTGCATAAATGGCACTTTGCGATTTACTTTGCTAAGTAATCCTTCTGTCTGTGCATCGAATATAACAAAAAAAAATATAAAAAGATAGCCAGAGACAAAATATAGTCGACTAGAAAGAGAAGCCATAAAATAAAATAAATAAAATGAAAACTACGTCGACTTTGAAAAAAAAAAGATTTTTTTTTATATCTGTGGTATGTGTATTGTTCGGTGGATTTTTACTTTCTGTCTAGGTTATGTGTTGGTACTGGTATTGGTATACTGGTATTGTATTGTATGTGTGTGTTTGTGTGTGTGTGTGGTTGAGTGACAATGGCCCGCGGGTCATTTCCAAAGAAACTTGTCGTCTATTGGTGCTATGTTTTCTCCGATTGTTTCAGTCTTAGTCAATGAACAAAAAGAAAACACCTAAATAAAATATAAATTTGAAAGCCTCATTAGCCAATTATATATCTGTGTATATAATTTTTTTTTTAATTAACTTTAAATAGATTTTTAGTAATCTCGTATAAATATCTAAGTGTGAGATCATGAAGGTAAAATACAGAATAAATAAAGTTGCAAAACGCCGAAAATGAACACAATGTTTCAAACAATATGCCTCTTTTGTTTCTTATAACGAACACTGTTTCTCTTTTTTTTTTATAAATTTAAGCCTAATATATAAATTTACAGCACCAAGATTTTTCTCTTTTCTCAAAATATTATTTTTCTCTTCGCCTTATTGTCACACATTAACATAGTGTAAAAATCAGGAATATATCACATACCGCAGCGCAGTATTGCACCTTGCGGACGTGAAAGTGGCACGATTTGATAACAATTCTCAAAAAATTTAAACTTTAAATCGTCCAACTTCATCCTCTCTTTCGTCGTTTGGAATGTGGTATAACTAATTGTGATGTCACGTAAGTCCCCGCGCCAACATACATACACTCCTACAGTTCAAAGATTAAACAAATAATGTAAATAGAATCATTAGGCAACTTTTACAACAAGACCACGGTCCAGTTCAAAATATAAATCGTCTAAGATATATTAAAATGATCTAATATTAATAATTAAAAAGAAGACATAAATTCAAAAAGATATTGCGATTGATTGTAAAGTTTGAGATTAGACGTTGAAGTGGTCTTTGAACTTGTAGAAGTCGATGTTGTGCGCGAGCTTGGGGTCCTGCGTGGTGAGGTTCTGCGGCTGCGTCTGCGCGGGTAGTGCGGGCAGAGCGGGCAGCGCGCGCTGGCGCCGGTGGTAGATGCTCTTATGGTTGTTGAGCGAGTTGAGCGTGCGGAAGACCTTGTGGCAGAGGCTGCAGCGCGCCGAGTGCAGCGGCTGCAGGTGCTGCTGCTCCGTGTGCCGCTTGAGCGTGAGCCGCGTGGACAGCAGCTTGCCGCACACCTCGCAGCGGTGCCCCGCGCCCAGGGGGCCCACTGCGCCACACATAACAACCAACATTAGCGCATTAGTCAACCGACCCCCACGTCGGGGCCATAGGTCCCAACACCACTGCGAAGCTCCAACGGGTCCCATTCGTTCGGAACCAATTGGCACGATTTTGCGCCACTCTGTTAGGTGGCAATTTAGCGAACCGATATGGCTTGTAGAGGCAATTTAACGTGATCAATCGAATTTGACTAATGCGCTCAATTAAAATTTAAAGTTGGTGGTTATGCGTGTACCGATTATAGTTCCAATTGGTTCCAGAGAGGGGCGTGAGCGTAACGCGCCGGCGCCGGGGCTGCCGCGCGGTACGCTCGCGCCTGCCTTGGGTTTTATTTAGTAGCCTGGCGGTGCGCATGCAAAGTACACGTAAAACTATGCTATGTACAAATGTTAGGAACATATCGCTTTACAAATCTCTTTTCCTAAACTTAACAATTTTCTAAGGGCAAGACTATGGCGTTTTAGGTGGTAAAGGATGGCAGCTTTAGTTCTTCGAATGGCAACGTAATCGGCGACGGATGTGACGGGCGTCAATTGACGGGGTAGAAGGGGCCCTGTCCGGTGGCGGAGGGCGGTTGCTGCTTGCGGTGGTAGATCGACTTGTGGTTTCTCAGACTATTCAGGCTGGAGTATACCCGTCGGCAAATATTACAGACGGGCTCCCTCGAGGGCCTCATGTGAACGTTCTGAATGTGCCGTTTGAGCCGCGTCAGGGAGGACAAGCTCTTGTTACAGGGCTCGCATCTGTAATCTTCCTGGGGGGTGCGGGCGCCACCTGGTCACAACACAAGCAGTTAGCCCGGTGGAAGCTTCCGAACGCACTTTTAATGCACTCTCTTTATCGCTGCCTCTCGATTATTGTTTTATTTTTATTTGTAAGCACCGCCACCCCCCTTTACATTTTGATGATAGCCATCCTCCGCGCCGTAAATAATGCCAAGCGATATTAGTACGCATATATGTTTTTGTGTCCTAGCTCGACCTACATACGGCTTAGCAAAGCTCTGCGGCGTTTGTGATGAATTAAGTCTGCCGTTGTCATAACAGAGCGTCGCGCGGCGGCGGTTCCGGCCGGCGCTCGAGTTTCTCGAACAAAAGCGTTAGTATTCTTCAATGAGACTGAATGTCTGTTTTTTTAATATAATTCGACACCGGGTGAGCATTACTAAAAATTCCATTGTCCAATCTTGGATGTCCCGATCGTTATATTTCTCAAGACAATAATGATTAAGAGTAATACGAAACTGTTTTTAGAAACATGAATGACTCATGGGATCCATCGTGCGTTTAAAGAAAATAACTCATTACCGGAATACAATTATTATGCTATACGATTCTTGTCGGTCAATTTTTCGCATACTAATTTCGGATTCGTCTTCTCGCAATTGTTTCTTTTTCTACATAGTATTTTCGACACGTTAACTTCCAGCCAATTGTATGGTACGAGTGCTTTTGCTGTTTCCCGTCAAAAATGAATTTCAAATCAGATGACACGTTATAATGAAAACCAATTCATTGAAAAATAAAAAAAAAATGAAACTTAAAATTGGATAATGGGAACGAGGGGGTATCTCCTAGTGTATATACTTTAAGACACATCTATAAAACAAGCTGGCATATCTTCCTTGTACGATTACATTAAACTAGTTACATACAATAAACATGCACGCCACGTTGAGTTTTGGTTCAATGATCGATTCTCATTTTACAAACAGAAACTCTTACGATCTGGCAAATGAAAACGGATAGTACGCGGTACATCGAACCAAAACACAAAAGCTAACATTAATACAGAACACAGAGCACAAAATGAAGACATATATATAAATATAGGTTAGGAGGATGAATATACATAGATATAGTACATAGATTATATATATATATAGGTCACGTGATATTGCCTCATACATTTTTTTGTAAATATAAACCTAATTATGATATATAAACCTAATAATGACAGAGCAGAGAGGAAGCGGTGATGGTGGCATACGACAGACAGTGCATTAAAAATATCGTTTGTTTCAATATATGTAGGTAATGCATAAAATAAATTTGCTGCTAGAGAAGCCGCGACTCACCTTGAGACGTGCTCGCCATGCCGTCGGGCGCCAGTGGGCTCGGCAGACCTGCAACCAGGACACACAGCTGCTTTATATGTCGCTTTACATCTTACGGCACTTGCCAGTACACTCACATACCATAGGGAAGAATAATTCAGTGGCAGATACACTGAATTCCACTCAGGCGCAGCTGCAACTATGTCCCTAAGCAGGGAGTATGTTTATTTGTTGTTGGTGAAATTTTTGATGTCGCGAGAAATGACAGAAAATTATAAGGTAAAAAAATCTTTGAACGGAAAATCAAAACTCAAAAAATAGACGAAGGCAGCCTTGTTATAATTACATAAATTTTCAACATAAATAACACACAACATCAACATACCATGAAAGTAAAAAATAAGTATAGTTACCCGCCAAAGATGAATGTTCAGTGAGAGCCGCCATGCTAAAGTTGTAAGTGTTAGATGGGGCAAAGAGCTTGGTGTCGGCCGGCGGGATGAAGGGCGAGGGCGGCAACTGCGGCGGCGGCGTGCGGTCGTCGGCATCTGCGGAGCTGCCGCGTGACGGCGGCCCGCCCTGAGACACAATCATGTAGGTATTAAAGTCATGTTACCCTTCCTACAAACTCTATGATCGGCCCTAGCTTTTAAGAACTTTGTTATTATATGACCTTAAAAAAATGAAGGAAAATTAAATTTAATTAATTTTGAAAAAAGATTAGGATCAGATACCTATTATACTTTTTACCTATAGTTATAAGGTCACGAAGTCCATTATCTAATAACGCAGACGGTCTGTCTGTCACTATGGATAGCATACCATGGTATAACAATCGCGGGTGTCACCGGACACTTGCCGAGTTCCGGGTAGAGGTATCTAGTTCGTTAGACTTCTTTCTAATACTCAGTAATGTCAATGTCAAGACAATTAAGCGACGGCGGACGAGGTTATTATGTTTTGACAGCTTGAATTTCAAACGTATCGGTTTGGAGAATATAAACAGAACTATATTTTATGGTTTATGATAACATCGTTATAAACTAGCCAGCCAGTCAATTTCATTTTTATACAAAAAAAATCCGCTTAATGTAAAGTTTTGCTATACTTACCATGGAGCGGTGGTGCGAGTGCGGCGGTGTATCATCAGCGCTGCGGTCCAGGTCCGCGTTGGAGGCGCAGATCATGTCGATGGGCTCATGTTTGACGTCCTCGAGGCGTGGGGAGGGCGAGGAGGAAGAGTTGGAGATGCCGTTCCCATTGCCCTGGTCGTGTGCGCGCGCGTTGTTCACCATCGAGTGGTTCTTGGTGGAGAAATCGGCGGCGTGTATCTGCGGCTGGTCGTTATTGTTGTCGTGACGGATGCGTTTGATAACGTCTGGCGAGTTGTCGGCGGAGCGGCTGATGCGACGCGGCGGCGGTGGGGCGCGACGCAGCAGAGCCTGAGCGGCGGCTGGCGGGTGCGATAGCAGTGCTTCCTCGAGTTTGTCGGTATAGCCGGGCGTGTGTGGGGTGTGCGGCGTGTGTGGCGTATGCGGCGTGTGCACGGGATGCGGCGGCGTGCGCGGGGACGATGCCGCCGCGGCTGCCGCGCGTGTTAAGTTCTGGAGGAGCGGCTGCGGAAGTTATGAGGTGTTACAATCTTACTCCATGCTACATCTCACAACAGATCAGTACATGGTTTCCTCAATCATTGTTGAACAGTAAAACATAAAACATTTTTAAATCAAAGAGTATTCGTTTGTAGCGACATAGGTTACGTTTCGCGTAGCTCCTTTACTTCACATGTGATATATGAAATTTCGACATTTAAATGTGTAACGTATACAACGTTTGATTCTATGAATAAGAGGATGACATAATTTTAATAATAATGGCGAAAGTAATTGCTTACCCCTTGAGCGTCATCATTCTGCGTGAGTCCGGAGACGCGCAGTACCTCAGCGGTCTTGAGGAAGGAGGAAAGGCTGCGCTGGTGCACATTCACCTCGCCGTGATAGATGAACTCGACGAGCGCGTTCAGGTCCGTGAAGGCCACGTCTTGGAGCACGATCACTGGGTGCTTGCATGGCGTCGACTGCGAAATAATTAATCAGATATTTAAAATACCACCACGCACCGGCTTATTCTAGGGATACTAATACAGAAATTAACTGATATACGAATGGCTCGGCTCTAATCATATGAAGGTCGTATCACACCTTACAGAATATCAAAAACACTCGCTAACATTACTATTAAAGTTATGATCAACGCAACGTGCAGAAAAACTTAAGCCAAGATCGTCAGGGTAAACTTCTTAAATCGTAAAGTTATAGAAATGATTGAGTGCCACCAGAAGTCAGTATTAAATCATATTATTGTTACTTAAATATAGTGCAAAAAACTAAGTAGATACTTAGTTCTATGTCTATATCTATGTATTGATGACGAAATATTCTTCACCTGCGCAAATGTTTGTTCATGTTCTGGTGCAATAGCTATTGTCGATTAAAATAACTTTTTACCTATTTTATGCTAAGACTAAATAATATTTTTTATATATTTTCTTATAACATTTTCTTTAAGTAGATACAGATGAGTTATAAATTAGTATAATGATTTATAGACGTTACCTTTAAGAGCTCCCTGAAGTAAGGGCTGCATGCAGACAGCACGACCCTATGAGCTTTGAGGCTCCTGCCGTCGCAGGCGAGGGTGACGTCGACAAAGTCCTCGTCATCCCTTAGGTTCTCAAAGGCGCTGGTGATGCTGCTCTGGTAGTTGTTCCAGCGCAGACAGAAATGCTGTGTGTCCACCATCTTGTCTGATTATGATATCGTTTGTGTCGCACGGATTATGGAGTCATGTGTTCGGACTGACGATCTGCGAACGAAAGATACGAGTTAATTATATGTCGAGGCATTGTTTACGATCTAAGTTTATTTATAAGTTAAGTATTCAGATAGCTGGTAGCTTATCAATAAAAGTATGTTTGTTTAAAAAGTTAATTGTCAACGTCGGCATGTCCTTAAATAGAAAGCTATCCGTCACATTATCGTGGCGCTGTCTAGTTTGTTATTACGCGGTAATTAGGGCGCGTGCACAATAACTCGTGCTGTAAACAAGTGGACAATGCTTTACTTTTATCGTCTCTGACCTGATTTTTAATATAATGTTTTATTTATTATAATTAATTGTTTTAATGTCAAGAAATAGGAACACTATAATAGTGCTAAGATATTGTTATCAAAAGCTCTATATGTCTTTATGTATATTTCATTACAAGCGGTGAGTCGTCTGAAGTGTACTAACTATGGCAGGGATAGACAATATACATAGATATGTCGGGTAAATATAATATTTTGAGCGATTAGGACCCTTCCTTAAGAGGCAAGGCTTATATTTTGTAAAGATTTAGATGATAATTTTGCCCGCCTAAAACAAGGTCAAGTTTTTATGACTTACAGATGCAAAAAAGAAGCAAAGTGTTGCAATTGTGCCTGTTGTGTTAATCAGGATTGAAAACGTATTAAAAGAATTGAAGTTGGTCGTGTTATTTATAAATTAACCAATTTAAGTTTCTTAGGCAATAATACAGGGTGTAAGACATTACCTACACCTACTTAATTGCCTAAGCAACTATACTTAGTTAGCATTACGACAGAAATAATTATGAACCGCACATTGAAATTGTTAATTTGTTAAGAATGAGAAAGTTAAATTGTAACGAAACAAGAAACTTTTAAAAGCAAACGTATTAAGAACAAATGTCGTGTTTCCATTACAAAAAGTTTTCTTATGTATGGGTTTCCTGTTCAAATCCCCGAGGCCGGTTTATTGTGTGACGATTGCGAATTTATAAAATTTTCAAGAGTTTGAAATGGGATTGTAATCGTAGACAAAAGAGTATTGAATTAAGTTCTGATCGATAAGAGTTATTGAACGCAGGAAAAATATACTTTTTCTATGGTTTCACCGCAAAGTTTATGAAAGGTCTGAATAAGAAAGTAATAGGGTTTAATTATCGCTATGATTCTACAATAACCAGAGTTAACATTTTTTTACTACTCCAATTTAATTCTTTAATTCTAAGTTTTGCAAGATTCGTTATTATCTTTATATTGTTGTTTTTGTGAAGATTATTTAAATTATATTTCTTACAATTTTTATTCAAAAATAAGATGACAGATTGTATTAAAAAAAATATATAAATCTTTTGTAACCTGCCAGAGTTCGGTTTTGCTTGAGTCATCGCTATTAAATATAATAAAAAACATTACAAAATGTATTTTTTTTTAATTTATTAAAAATCTTTAACTTCTGTTCAACAATTTTTTTTTTTAATTTCTAAATAACTTTTAAAGTTTGGAGATTTAATGTTTACGTAATTATTTTTGTGTCATATCTTTTCTGTCTTAACTTATATCGATATATGAAAAGTAGAATAAATGACATAAGATTTGGGAATCGAAGTAATTACCCATTGGGTGTACAGATAACCGTTTAACTACGGGGTTGTAAAGGTGTGTTAATGTGTAAACAACATTTGATACAAGAAAACAGCTGCAATTATGCAACAAAGAATCGCATAGTTCTAATGTATTTCTGAAAATCGCTTTCGATGCGATGCGACCGACGATGCAAAGGATTAACGCCCTTATTCCCTATGCTTTAGAGTCGTGGTGCGTGTTACATAACGGTACAAATCGTGCGGCTTATGGTCTGAAGTTTTTCAACAAATCGTAGACAATAGGTCCCAGTGACCGAGTGCAAACAATGCTCCTCGAATTACCACTTGGTATGTGAGCTGGTTATCTTTGATATCGAATTTGTATTTTTTGTCATTGTCTAAATATCATTAAATTATATACCTAAATATTTTATTTATATTTTTCCCCCCTTAATAATTAAGGTTAACAAACAAACGAGATAGGCTTTTAAAGGGAAAATCGTTATGAATCCTGCAAATATTGGCAAAGGAATTCAAAAGAAATATGTGAAAACTGACTCGCACTCGGCCAGTGTGGTTGACTATGGTCTTGTTATCCCTAACTAGAGTATACTTTGACCTCGACCTAGACCTTGGTGGAAACATTTATAAACTGACCACAATGATTGATGTATTTTCATTATGGCAGTAATCAAATGGTAGAGTCGAACCAAAATAATCACAAGATTTTCATTTCTTTTACGCTACATATGGTGTCTTAAATAGTGTCGTTTCAATAATTTATCTTTACTTAATTATTTAATTTATTTAATCAATTTTATATTATTCTATTATTAAGAGCGTCGGTGGCTCAGTGGTCAAGCACTTGACTTGCAATCTGCAGGTCCTGGGTTCGAATCCCGCCATGTACCAATGTGTTTTCGATTTCCGATTTACACATGAACATTTATCCGACGTACTCAACTTGAAGGAAAACATCGTGATGCAACCTGCACATATCTGAGAAGAAATTCAATGATTTGTGTGAAGTCAACCAACCCGCACTGGGCCAGCGTGGTTGACTATGGCCTAATCACCCTTAACTTAGGGTAGACTTCGAGCCCCTCGGTGGGGACGTATAGAGAGCTGATGATGATGATGATATATTATTGAATATGTTTCTAAAAATTTGCAAATAATAAAAGTTACATGAATAATTACGTGTGATACTTGTAACGGTTAAATAATTATATATTTTACATTAAACCTAAATTTTCCTATGTATTTTTCGTTCGATTGTTTTTTATTGCTATGCGTCATACAATAATTAGGTATCAATAAATATATGAACCAGTTATTTCTTGGCATATTAAAATATGTCGACTTTGAGATTCTTTTGTAATGATTTGGTCGTGCAATAACTACATGACCTCGTTGCTCAGTAGTCAAACACTGTAGCTGGGTTCATTTCTAGAATAGTTTTATATAACTATTTAAAGAATTAGTTTATGAAGGCTCTTGATGAAATTTTTGTCAAGTTTGACCTTTAGAATTGACAAAAGGGCAAAAGCTTATAATGTGTTCAAGTTAATAAGCGCAGCCTAGGATTTTGTCTTTATCTTTTTTCTTTTAAACCTTGTAAAGGCTTAGAGAGATTTATTACAATTACAAATTGCTTTTTTGAAACCAAATCAAACGTTTTTTTAATTATTAAATGTTAATAATATTAATAAGATGACTAGGGATTAAATTAATAGTGTACTAAATATTGGGGGTAGAGCGACGTGTGACTACGTCTATTGCAAACACCCCAATGGTGACGATTTCTATCAACGACACTAAATCATGTTATTCCACCACGTAGCAAATCCTTTTACTATTCATAGCGTATGAAAAGCAGATCCCTCTTAACTGGATGTGGCTTAATTTATAAGCGAAAACTTAGCAACACAAATATTCCTACAGACTATACATTTAGATAGATTTTTTTTTATTATTATTAAGTGTGCTAAATATCTAGCTATTGTTATAATATTGTTCTATCCTGCAGTCCTGCGCTTAGAATTACTCTATCTGAAATTGGTTTTTACTACCTCATGCGGGCATTTGATAGCGTTGACAGCTTAAGCTCTATAAATTATTCTAATGCAATTATAAAAAATATACTACACTAAATTGTTATATTTTTAGTACAAAAAAATCTTACTAACATTATAAATGCGAAATGTTAGATGGATGAATGGATGTTCGTTACAAGGTATCTCCGGAACGGTTCAAGGGACCTTGATGAAATTTTGCACAGATATAGAACATAATCTGGTTGATTAATGTTTCTGTTGCTTGAAATTAACACATAGGTTACTAATTAGGTTTCAATTTTGGTTTGTACATTTCAAGTTTTGTTTAACATTTTCAGTTCCACTACAGTTTTTTTTTTATAAATTTTCTAAGTATCGTTGTAAGTACGTAACGCAACGCTTACAACTTAGCCCTACGGCTTAAAAAACTCGCTTCAACACCAAAATGGCCGTTTTGTTCGTATTTAGTCAAAAACCTATCAGTCTTTGTCGTCTATTGAAAACGTCTTTGTCTATTTCGCACCTTTACTCATATTATAAATTAGAATTTACGTTATATACCCCTTTTATAATATCTTTAGATCTCTATGTACTGTGTTATTTGGTTTGTTAAGCCAAATTAGACCTTAATAGTTTGACTTCAAGTGAGTAATTTGAATGAAGGTTACTACTGCAATAGAAACGATAACATTATATAACATATGCATTATCTTTTGCATTATAGATCTGATAGCGAATCTTTTAGAGTTCCGTAAGTGGTTAAATAAACCATTTCTGATAAGTGTTATTTTTTTAAGATTTTTAATGATAATTTCAGCTAACTTAGCAATAAAAAGGATAACATATCTCACGATATAAAAAATTAAAAAGGAAAAAACAATAATCGAAAATACGAAGTAAAGGGAGGAATGTTAAGACAATTGTTATCGTTATGTGATTGAGGATGTGTTATAAGATTTCATCGTAATTCAGCACTTTTCAATACTTATTTGATTGGAGCCTTTTTTTCTGTGCATCTTAGTATGTGTGTTAAAATTTGCGTAAATTTTTAAGGTAGAATACTTTACGATTATTCTGTTCCCTATTTTAATGTTGTACGGAACCAAACCGTCTATCAATTTGTGCGCTCCTCAAATTCTTTTTTTTTTTTTATTTTATCAGCTTATGCTGCGATAACAATTTAGAAACTATGATAAATAGAATTCGCTCTATATCCACAAAACACGGCACTAAAGTATGCGTCAATGTGACGAAAATGACAATGAATTTTATTAATTAAACCATGTTGGCAAATAAAAATTGACAGCTATACAATCGTATGTGTATAATGTAATTTAAAGGTTTTAAATTTAAATATTTCTATGAATATAATTCATAGAAATATTAAGCTTTTTAATTAACTGATAATATGACTCTTACAGAAGCTTCTTACTTAACGATTATTGGATTTAAAATACGAAGTAATGTTTCTAGTGGATTGAATATACTAATATTATTGTTCTGTCACATGATTAGTGTTCACATGTGTTACAATTATTTTGGAACATATTTTTATCCCCTACATTTAGTTAAAAGTATAGATAGGAATATCTTTGAATACAAGAGTCACTTTTTGATCACGCCAAGTTTTTTTTTTAAATAAGTCTTTCAAAATTGCATATAATGCGTCAATAGCCTAATGGTTAAGGGTACAGATTTCCGATCACGAGGTCGGGAGTTCGAATCCCGACATTCGACTATTGTCGTAAACCATATCCTAGCACAAGCTTAGAGCTTAGTTGGAATGGTAAAAGAAATATTAGTAAATTTACAAAAAAAAATCTGCTAATATTTTATTTAAAAGAAAAACATACTAGTATAGAGATGTGAGATGAGAGATTCTTACTATGAATGTGAATTTTCTTCTAATTACGATTGTGATTGTTTGGATAAATGAATAGATGTTTGTTAGAAGGTATCACCAGAACGTCTCAACGGATCTCGATGAAATTTGGCATAGAACAGTCTTGAAGAACACATACGAACACTCATTTAGTCTTTTTAATACCGCGATTGCTATTTATTTTATATTTTGCAATCTATATTTAAATTATCAAATACGTCATTGGAATCATTATCATAAAAAGATTCAAGAAAATTATTTTGGGATAAAAATACGTATAGAATAAAGATAGTTTTTCCTCCGTTATTTCCATTCGTTATGTGTTTAATCCAAAATTGTGAAAAAAAGATATGTCACCTTTTCATAGTGAAAGAATTAAGAACTATGAATGATATGTTGTACATTTGACGAGGTGATATTGACAAGACTTTAACGTGAAGGTAGTTGATGCATGGAGGCATGTTACAGACTACTTTTTTTGAACTGACGAAGTTGCAGCAACCATTAGTACAAAATAAAAATTAAATATCGTATTTACATTTTGTACACAGTACCATTTAAATTTAATAATGTTTTGACAATGGAAAGAACATAAAATATTGTCGTCTCTTACATTTTATTTAACAAAATAGAGATACGAATATAAATGATTACATGAGACACAGCAGTGGAGTCCCACTGTTATTTATAACGAATAAATGAGAGCTCCCGCCTCCCGCACGGCCGCTGATAGCCCCGACTTATCGCACTTTTTGTAAATTTAGCTTTTTATCAAAGACCTAGGCTACCTGATACCTTATCGCACACATAGTTGAGGTTATTAGATGTTACTATTCGAACGATGTCTTTTTTATATTAATTTGTTTTTGGATATTATTATAATTTTGAATTATTGTTAATTTGTGGTTTGATTTTTTAAATTATTAAAATTTATATTAAATTAATTATTGTTTTATAACGTTACATTTTTATTACAAATTTCCCTATTTCGCTTTTTATATATTTTTTTATTTTCGTACATTTCAAGTGTCTTTTTTATTACTACTTGTTAACAAGTCTTAAGATAAGTAAAACAGATTTAGATGTTTGTTAAGGACTAAGCGAAAATCATATTGATTTGAAAACCATGATTTAAAATTATAAGAAAAACCCTACTTGGTTTTTCTAGCTTGTTGTTTTTTTCTTATGTAACTTTCTCATTCAGATGTTAGTACATAACTGAATTTTTATTTTAACGTATCGGCATCATGTTTACATAATTAAATATAAATTGATAAATACATGAGTTGTTAAGTTGACACGATGCTACGTCAACCAATAGATATAGCCATAGCAAATACCTAATATAAATTTGAATGTGATTTTTGATAAGCAGTAGGTAGGTCACATGCCGACCGATAGCTCTGACACTAAGCTAGATAAAGTCTAAGTTTTTAGTTCTTTTCTTGATAACGAATTCGAGTCGCGGCGTTTTAACGTATTTTAGTAATCATTTTATTAACAAAAATATTTAATATGTTCTATGTTAACAATTTTTAATTAGTTTGTTTAATAAAAAAGAGTCAATGACTTTGAGGTAATGGTCAAACGGTTATGGGTACGGTAGCGAGCTGCAAATGAGGTCGTGTGATCGAATTCATCGTTCGATAATTTATTTAAACTATATCGTACACGATGATTTGGTGATTATGATGATGATGATGATGATAATAAGTATTCTAAGTTATGAAATTTTATATGTATATGTATTATATACTCACCGTAACGCGTAACAAGACCTTCTTAGCCAACTTCTTCACTAATTAAATCTGTAAAAAAATAAACTTTAATTAGTGTTATATTTGCGTTAAAAATTGCTGTACTAACTTCACTAATCGTTACATAGAAAAATCAAAATACTATCTTACATTAATACTGGAAACATTTTCCGATATTTGTCTTATACAGTTTAGCAGAAAATCAAATCATACGTACGTTAATAGTATTATATGTAGAATTAAAAATTAAATTTAATAATTAATTCGAAATTAGATTTGATGTGTTAACTGACCGATTTCAGTCATGAAAGGCGTTAAATCGCTCACGTAGAAACTACGTGAATACCTAAAGGAAATAGACCCGAAAGCCGTTACGATCCGCCCGGAAACATACGAGCGAGTACATTATGTCCGTAAACACCGGATACATAGAGGCAAACGATCCAATCGCGGCAAAGGTCAATCTTTTAGTGTCCAATCGCTGGCGGTCCCTCGGCACGCAAACTATGTAGGCTTTCGTCGAAAGTGAAAGTGGGCAAATGGCGGTTTGAGTTTCCACGTAGTTGTGACGTGTGTGGACGTATGTAAATAGAGAGCTCGTATGTGTGCGTCCGTTGTGAATGAAGCCTCGAAGCTTTTGTCGGGTTATGTAAGTTGGAAATCAACGAGCAACTGACTGTATATTCAGTGACAAGCTAGTTTTACCTTTACGTGCTTATACATTGAGACTATTGTCTCTTCACACTTCGGTTACGATACATATGTGTAAAGAAACAACTTGTCACTTCTGAATAACAAGGACTTAATAGATCTGGATGTGATTTATAGTCTTTTAAATATGCTGATTTAAGTTCGATTTTCGATAGTTATACATTTAAATAATTGTAATCAATGAAGCTAATCTATATTTAAAATCATTAATCGAATAAATTTCTATTCATCTTGAGATTTCTATCAACAGGTGGGTAGTCAGAAAACGCAATGACGGTTAAAGTGTAAAATTCTCGTAATATTCCAAATTCGTAAGAGGATAAACATCGTGATAATTTATAAGGCTTTGTTAAGATATTGCCTAAATTTTTTAGTTCAGATATTATGACCAATATTATTAAAATAGCAATATACACCCAAATACGGTAACTACGTTTTGCTTGAAAAAATCCAAATATTTTTATACACTTTAATTTTAATAATAGCCTGGAAGTTTTTAAAGCTACGCGGACCCTTTGAACTCGTCAAGTTAATCACGGCTGGCCACACCGTGGCAACTAAACTGTTCGCTAATAGGGTTGCCCGCTACGCGAAAATTAACGGACCCCATTAATTAAGCCTGCGACCGGTGTTGCTAACTATTTGTAGTTTAACAATAAACTGGCGTGTGACTTACCTGCCAGTGTGTTCAAGTATGCAACCATAGAGTTACAACTCTATGGAATAGATTATAAAAAAAATCATTGGATATTATTAGGACTGGTCGAAAATCTTCGTGTAAATCTTTGAAAAAGTAAGAGAAGAGAAGGAGAGGGAACCTACGTGTATATTGACTTAACAAAAACTACACGCTATTTTGTGGTTGTTTTCAGCGAGCGTAACTATTTTTACTGTGATACTGTATTTTTAATTTGAATACTGTTGAACGCTATGTCAATATAGTTTACATTATTATATCAATAGATGGCAGAACATAATGTTTAGATCACGATATATATTTATTTGGTATGTTTATCGACTTGCCGATCGCATTTAAATAAAGTTGACTCGCACCAAGATATAACCAGTGTTTCATTGTGACTACTCGATACTTCTCCAGTGAGAGGGAGACCTTTTTGAGACTGCTTTACATGATCTTGGTGCGAGTCAACTTTATTTAAATGCGATCGGCAAGTCGATAAACATACCAAATAAATCTATATCGTGATCTAAACAATATGTTCCGCCATCTATTGATATAATAATGTAAACTATATTGACATAGGGTTGAATTTCTGCGACAGAAATATCTTTTGACAAAAAAGCGTATCATACTTTGGTGTACGTTGGTTTGATACGCGTTACCGGACTTTGAGGATCGTGGGAATTATTTTTTAAGATACAATTTATCGTTTAGGGCCAATGATTCTTTATACAAAGCACGTTGACCTGTCGCACCACGCTACTCTGTGATCTATGTAGTAAATAAATACTATATGTATTTAATACTATTTATCTATGCCTTGTTATCAGTCATGTGAAAAGAAAAGTATTCTTCACCTTTTATTATAAATGTTCAAGTGTATGAATGGTTTTATTTGTGTCTGTAGTGTGTGAAGTAAAACAAAACTGAAACTGAATTTCACGAAGAAAACGAATAATCAAAATATTTCTTCTTAATTTATAATATTTGATAACACAATGCGGGCGGCACAGGACCGGGCATTGTGGCAATCGATGGGGGAGGCCTACGTCCAGCAGTGGACAAGCTTAGGCTGAACATGATGATGATGATGATAACACATAGCCTAGGGATGTCTAGGCCACAGTTAACCACGCTGATCCAGTAAGGGTTAGTTGACTTCATATAAATCTTTGAATTTTTTCTCAAAATTGTGTAGAACGATGTTTTCCTTCAGCGTACGAAGATTGAATAAATATAAGTATGCGAATCGAAAATAACATTGGTACACGGCGGGGATGGAACCTGGACTTATAGATTTCGGTCCAGTCCTGTCAATTACAAATTCGGCTCCAAAGCACATTTTTATTCAATTGCAAACTTGAAAATAATTTTTACATTTTCCTTATTCCTTGTTACTAATTACTAATTGTTTGTTAAATTTGCATAAAATTTTAATGAAATTGAGAGTCAATGATACAAAGTTTGAGTAAAAAAAATGATTTAAAGTTCTCAAATAAGATAAATAATTGTATTTATTATGCAATTTAATTGCCTTTAATATTACAGTCATAGATAAAAAAAAACTGTGCTCTTCCTTGTGTTGAGGCTTTTGACCCGTGCATTGACATCGTTTATTATATACTACTGTATAAACCCTGCTTTGCTTGAGAATAAAAAAAACTTCTTTTATAATGATAGAGAGCTAATTTACCATTAAGTTTCATATAACATTAAAGGAAAATAATTATTATAGATTATTGAAAATGCCAACGGGGATTTTACGTTTGTTGTGTTTGCCTAAAATTAACTTATTTAATATGAATTATATTTATATGGATGCGATATGGATGTTTTGTCCTTATAAAGACATAATAAGTGTCAATGGAGAGTTGGTCGTACGTTTTGCATTATTTTTTTAAGCAGTATAAATAACTTAACAAACATTTTATTTAAGGAATCGTGTTTTATTATGCATCTGACTGTTGCCCGCGACTTCGGCTGTGTACTTCCAGACTACGATCTACATCTATGCTAAATTTAATCGGGTTCCGTTGAGCCATTCAGCAGATACCTTCTGTTAGGAAGAAAATTCGAAAATGTGGCAGTGACCCAACACTAGCCGTAATAAAATGTCGACGTTTGTGTCCCTTCACTATTCATACTGACACTGGACTTTGTAACGACAGCACGGCATTATTCAAAGGATTCTAACTAATAATGTCTTAAACTTCTAACAAACTTCTTTTCATCCAAACATTCTCATTTATAATATTAGTAAGATACGGAATAGCCAGCATGTCCTCGTATGTGAGTGTATTTTGTTGTTTGCTAAGTTTAATGATAAACGATAGAACGAAGATACAGAAAGAGTGCGAAAGTAGACAGGGCCGTTAGTCTATGTTTGCTAAACAAATGTTTATACGAAGTAATAAAAACGCGATAAGGTAGGTGCAACAAGATAGTGATGGTCGTTTTACTTTTTTAATCGATACATGTCTATTATATTGGATGTTTTTATTATATTACTTAACAACTGAAATATTTAATTTCGAAGTTTTTCCGGCCCTTGATAAATCGAAGTTATCAAAAAATGTAAATGTAAGTGTAGGCAACTTCGTAGAATGTTACGTCATCGGATTTTTTGTTTAGATATAAACTGTCAAGGTTGTGTTTTCGTTATCGACAATCGATATGTGGTGTAGCGTCACATCACTAACCTAGGGCAGGGCTAGTTATCATTTGTGCAGGAGATTGCGAATATGAACGCGCTGATAAGGTGTGCCGAATTAGACTAGATTATAATTTACAGGATAAACTAGTTTCAGTATTTGCTTCTTCATCTAGGATTACATTGCGACGATGAACTCTTTACCGTATCTATTTTATTTGCATTTGAATTATTACAGAAATTACTTTTACTATCATTGTACTTCTTTACTCGATTTACGTAACAACAATTCATTTCGAACACAAAAGAGATTGTAATTTTTTTATATTAGACTAGGCTGTGCCCGCGACTACGTCCGCGTGTCTTTGAGCTGCGCGCGGTACTTGGATATTGCCACATTACTTTATTTTTATAAAATAAACGTAGCCTAAGTTACTCCTTATTTCATCAGCTACTTATCACTAAAAGTCCCGTCAAAATCGGTCCATCCATTTCAGAAATTAGCCGAAACAAACAGTCAGATAGACAAAAATAAAAAAAATATATATTTAGGTGTATGTACCGTATGCATATTCATATAAAATAGATGTAGTAAAAAACGTTTATTTCAATATTACAAACAGATACTCCAATTTTATTTATATGTATAGAAGATAAAGATAAACCATCATTTTGATCACAATCCATTCTGATGGTATGAGGTGATCTGGTCAAAAGTCTACAAAAATTGTATCTGCGATATTTCTTTATGCTGCAAAAAGGTGATATGAATAGGTTATCACAGCAGGCAATTAATTCTGAATTCTTCGTGCAAAGGGTAAACAAGTGGGTCGCAATCTCGTCCGGTGCGAAGCGCATTCCCTTACACTACTTTCACACAAGGGTAGAGTAGTGAGGTAGTGCAGTAGGACAGTGGAGTACTACACTGTTCTACTGTACTTTCTTACTGCTTTCCCTCGTGTGAAGCCTAGCATTACGTCTCGTACTGCGCAGTAAGTCGCCAACGTA